TGATCTGCTAATCTTTGCAAAAATTACCCAACCCAAATTTCTACTTTGTTAACAAGAAGAATAGGATAAATCCTCCAGTGAATTTCACCCATTATGTGGATTTGAATTGGCCTGAATAAACTGAGGAAATTGTTTCTCAGGAGCAAAATCTGAATAGCGCAGCAAAATGCTAGATGAGGCAGTATTAAAAGGGCAATTTTAGCAGTTTTGCCTCAAACAATACTAGAACTGAAAGTAGCATCCTCCGATCAGGGCTGAACTTACTGGTAGTCACTTCTTTGATCATCTCAGCAGCGGTGTGGCAGCCAGTGACAATGTGTCTGGTCCACAGTGACAAGTCTTTACACGTCTCAGCTCGGAAGACGTGAGTCTCGATGCCCAGTCTCGTGCCCGTCCGTGTAGCGAAGGATAGCTCCCCGCCTGGCTGGGGTGAGCCTCTGTCTGGACCAGAGTGTACCAACCTGAAGACACACAAAAGCAGAAAAAAAGGTTTAGCAGCTGTCCACACATAGTACTGGAAGTGTAATAGAGAATAGCAAATCTAGAAACATTAATCAAGTCAACTGAGTAATGGTATTATATAATAAGGAAAATTGTAATTTTATTCTATACCAGCACTTTAAAGTGCCCCTTTAACTGTGGTATGAGATTTTTAAAACAGGATAGACTACTCTTTATCAAAAATACAACCTACACTGATTTAAAAAAAAAAAACTCTCAAAGCTAAAAGCCATCGTCATAAAGTTTAAAAATATGCTACTGGTTAGTGACTGGCCAGATTGTGTACTACCTGCACTTCCTTATACAGCCATTTTATGTCAGTGTTTTTAAGAAATGCATTGTTGTAATCAGATACCATGATGTACTGCAAACTGCAACGTTAGCTTGTACAGTTCATACCATTCAAACCATGGATGCATCTTAAAGCCCCTAAACTCTTCCTTGAAGCATATTATTCAGTAACTACTAAGAACTTTACAGTCACTCAAGTGAAGCTAACAGGAAAGGCATTCAGCTGCGAGAGTGAGGAATGTTAGATCTGGACTCACTGAAGAGGTCCATGTCCCTCAGAATATATCTTTAAGTACAGAAAGATTATTTGGGGACTTCGGCCCCATGTCCAGATTCTTGCTATGAGTTCTCAATGTTAAACAGATCAAACTATTTACAGCTCAACAAGGCCTACGCTTTGAGTTAACTTCAAACTTACATGATTGAAATTATGAGACAATTTGAAAGGTAATTTTGACACAAGACAAAAACAGTTTGGTTTCTAAGGTTCTATCTGACTATTTCTTATTCAACAATCTCTTAATCTCATGAAGTAACTAACAAATGGTAACTCAGCAGAGAAAGAAATATTGAGACTATTAAGTCCAAATTCTGAACATATGTGCTTTTTGATATGTTTTACTTTTCTGAATGTATTCTCCAAGATCTAAACTACAAGATATTTCACTTTTTTTAAATCTGAAGTTATTTCTAAATAAGATATTTATATTAAAGTTACATTGTAAAACATTTAACAATATTAAAATACATTATAACATACGTGTATGTGTGCAACCACACAAACATAACTTACACATAAAAAATAACAACTCAGGAGAAAAATCTCACCCAGTAATGAAGTTTAGGTGGTTAACCCACTTTCAACCAAAACGCCAGATAGAATCTTATAATACTGATGCCATCAAATGTGTCCAGAGACGGATAGTACAGTTAGTGTATTATACTCCAGTACAAAAATATCACCAATACTGTCTCCTCGAGACATGCCTGAAGCATCCAGGTTCTTGAATAGGCTTTCACTTTGTACTGTAAAGGCCGATTAGCTGGATAAAGCTTAAGCCTGGACCATATGGAAATTTCCACTGAGAATTGTACGTTAGAGTTACGTTTACTCTTTCCACAAAACTGGCTCACAGTGAAGAAGGAGCATTTTGGCAGTTGCAGGTGGAAGTAGTGTGGCTGTAGACTGGCATTCAGCTCAGCTGGCACAAGGGCTTTAGTTTATGGTTGAGTCTGTATTGCTGGATAAAATGTGTGCAAGAGTGTGAGAGATGTCATGGGGCAAACAGAATGTGTGCTTTTCGAGTTACCTAGTGGAATCTGTTGTTTCTGGACAAGGTGGTGGGTGCATGTCTGTTTCTGGGGAAACATGAATTAGGACGATGTTTGTTTCCATATACTTTATCTTGCAGAAGGTGTGTGTGCATGCGTGTGTGCGCGCGTGTGTGCGTGCACATGTATAATACCTTGTAGAAAGTAGAGGATATGTGTGTGCTGGGTTGAGCCTGTTCTCCTTCATACGTGTCATGCTGTCATACAGCATCAGGTCTTTGTCGGTCACCACAACCACCACCGGCTTCCAGCGTGGCCTCTCGCTCTCCGTCTGAAACAAACACAGCCACATAGATGGATATTATTTATTATTTACTTCATTTGTCCAAGATGTCTGGACAAAGAAAACAGTACATTCAACAGATGGCCACCAAAAGTCACTGGCAGAAGAATCTCTGGATCAGCTGGATTTATGCATTTTTTATTAGCCTGATGCTCATATCCAAAATTCATGCATTCTTAATGATCCATAACAGCTTATCCAATTCAGGGATGCGGTGGATCCCGAAAGCCCTGAACGCCAGGCAGCTGTGCACACTGGATGGGTATTTAATGTGGAAAAATGAATGTGATGTGATTGAGTCATTCATGTGATTCCTTGATGACTCCCATCATAGCAGCGATTCTCTGTGGGAACAGCTCAAGGCGTGGCGCATCTGGCTACAGTACCCAATTTCCAACAAAGTAAAGCCTCAGACTGTGATCTTCCTTCTTCATGGCAGCTATGACAAGTAAATTATTTCTCTAAGTGCTCGTCTAAGAACACATTTAAAATATAGCGTATGGTACTTACAGTAAATATAGAGGAGTGCAAGAACAGTGAATGACTCATCCTATCAAAAACGATGGTTAACCACATCACCCACTGCCCTGGGAAAGAAAATTAACCAGCATCGCTGTAAATGCTTGGAGCACGGAATAAAAATTGGCCTTCTGCAAATAGGAAAAAAAAAACAGAAAAAAAAAAACCAAGCAAAAACGATAAAAATCGCCTGACATACTCAAATCACCACAAATCACCAGTGTGCTCTTCACAGGGCAAGCTAATAAGAGACACTGGCAGGGCCACACACATGCACACAGACACACACACACACACAGGGAAAAGTTGCAAAGGGAACTAGGTTACAGTCTTTGGGCCCTTGATGCACTGGAGGCTTTTCTCCCCTTATAATTATTCATCAAGAGCCTGACAGCTTGGTAATAAGAGACAGTAAAAGGGAGCTCATTAAAAAGCAGTGAGAGAAGAAGTGGTTAGCCAGCCTGCTTATAGCATGGTGAAGGCCCTAACATTACATTAGCTACCTCTGCCAGGCCACAGCTAAGTGAGTCTTCAAAAGAGGAGTCAAAAATGGAGGCAAACATGCAGTCGAGCTGCCACCAGCTGCTAAGTCTGTGGGTTGAAGAGACCAGTGAGAATGACGGAAAGCTCTGCGTCCACAATGCCACAGCGGAGAGCTAAACCAGACATTTTTTTCCCTTTCTTGATCATGAAACAGCTCAAAAAGCTAATGATTTTAGCAACACACAGTGTACAAGAAGTGCTTAAAAACCTAAAACTAACTCACATTTGTTTAAGATTCATTCTGTTACAGATCAATAAACCATGAGCGATTTTCTGATTTCCTCATCCATGTGGAGTCTGTTTAAAACCAAGCACTATCCCAGCAAAACACCATAGCAACACGATATTATCACGAATTTTGTGTTTTTACTCAGCTTTGTAGAATACAGCCATGTTTCAGTCAGGGATTTGAAATTTGCCCATACGGTGTTACTGTTCTCTCTAGAACACTTCATTCCTGATTCATACTGATGAGGCAAACTCTGCATATAATCCCTTAAACCCAGTGGGATATGAGTTAAAGAAGAGCTAGGAGACTTGACTTCTCACAAGCACATCAGAATGCAGTACTGTTGCAATATTTTTTTCACAAAAAACGACTTCACTCATACACTTGCATCTCTATTTCTATTACTATTGTAACAAATTCATTTCCTTCCTGTGGGTTACCCTCTAGCCATTTCTCTTCTCACCATGCTTCACCATCAGTCACAGTGAAGGACACATCCTCTCACTCTTTAAAGCCAGCACCTTTTTTGCAGTTAAACTCAAACTGTTTGCACAGTAACGAATCCCATTGTGTCACATCGTAACATATCAAAACAGCTCTAAATCACAGCAATATATTAAACTGTTGGCTGTCCCTGTTTGCTAGCTGCTTTGCACACCCCTAACAGAATATTAAAATAATGAAATACAGTATAAAACTGTCTGCTATGAATAGAAAGCTATTCTCCTTCACATAGC